GGAAGTCAAGAAAGCGCACCAACAGGCATCTTTTCGGCTTCGACTCACAGAGAAGACTCGTTTATTTCCTCAAACTTCAACAAGAGTACTGGCAGAAAGGAAAAGGGAAAGCCCCGAAGAGGCGAGCGCCCCAAGCTGCCCAAGGCCCCCCGGGCGAGTGCTGGGGACGAGGGGGGACTTCTTGAGCACGAAGCAGCTTGGCGCGGGTCTCTGGCGACCACCAAGACGGGAGGAAACGAGGCACCAGGTCGGGGGAAGGGGCGTCACACAAACTAATCAAAAACACTCCCGCGGACGGGGTGAAACGTCAACAATACTACAACACTGATGTAACATCAAACTGCGTGGTGTGCACACCAGGCTGGTGTGTGGGTACACCAGCATTCCTGGTGGGCACACGAGGCTGGTGTGCTCGATACACAAATATTGCTGGTAGGCCAACCAGATATTGTGGTGTCCCACCATGATTTTCTGTTTCACACCAGGATATCCTGGTGTATTTTTCATTAGGGAAAGGCCTGCTTAATACTGCTTGAGCTCTTAACGCCGTTGACTGCAATTTCAGCTATCTCGTTCGGTGGCGAGTATCGCTTCTCCTTCGCTAAGGCCCATCTCGTTGACTGCTTGCCCAGTAGGTATTTCTCCGGACGCGCTCGAACAACGGCGCCGCGATAATGTTCAGGGTGAAGCTGTTCCAGTCGCTCCTTAACGCTTTCTAAATATTTCAAACACACGCCGGGATTTACATTCGCCGGGATTTACACACTCTGCTCTAAAGAGCGCCTGCAGATCAGCGTTTAAACTTTGCTCGGCACGAGGCGCTTCGTAGGCCAAAACAGACGACCTCACTATCGCCAGCATCTTTATTTCCTGCGTTGCAATCTCCCACGCCTAAAACATATCCCCTCCCACATTTTCAAAACACACATTTAGAATGCTGTTTACACCCCTAAGAAAAGATTCATCGTCAAGCAGCTTGGTGTTTAGCTTCCAAACTTTCCACTCGGACTTCGACTTCGGCGGTGCTTTGTCACCGATCGTTGTCGCAACTAAGCAGTGAGCGGAAAACAATTCTGTTGTATCACGATACTTGGTTAACAACGCTGCCACAGAGGCCGAAATGTAGATTATATCTAATAGGGCGTGGGAGGACGCTCTGAAGTGAGTGAAACGCATCTCGCGTGTTTCGTTTTCAACGATCGCTGCTTCTACCAGCTCGAAATCTTCGAGGAGCTCGCTTAAAATCGTCGCACTTCTATCGGTGCGCTGCCCAGACGGCGCTCTGTCTATATTTCGAACGACGCAATTAAAGTCCCCACATGACACGACTGTTCTGTCACAATCAACAAAACGGCGCCAGCCAGAAAAAAAAAAAGGAAACCCGGTCTTTCACCGTACTGGGGGCGTATACACATATAAGCCGCCAGTGAACTGCTACGAACAAAAAATCATACATAATAAAACTACTTTCGGTGCGACGGTCACACTTAGCTCAGACGAGGGAAACGATCTCTTCAAAAACGAGAAACAACCACCCGAAACTACGACAGCGTGTGTGACACAAACTTCAAACGAAGATAAAAAAGGCTTTAGTGCGGTAACCACCTGCTCTTCCTCGGCCATCTTGGTTTCTTGCATCGCCAAGAAATTGGGTCTCTGACTTTCCAACTAACGTTGTATACTCGGTATTGTTCCTTACGCGTGTTGAAACCTGGAACATTTGACGGTTCAACCGTGATAACGGGGTCGAGAGTACGATTCATGAAGGGCTATGATGGTACACTCGCCTTGAAAATCGCGCATGAGTTCATAGACCAGGCGTTGCCGCCTTACTGGTTATCGTAGCGTCGCCTCTCATCTGAGGACGCGCCCGGTACTTGGTTGTACTTGCCTCGCTTGCTCGCTGCCCACCACGCGTTCGGGTTCGGGGTAGTAATGCAAAACTATCGATAGTCATATCGATAGTTTTGCATTACTACCCCGAACCCGAACGCGTGGTGGGCAGCGAGCAAACGAGGACTATCGATAGTATCGATAGTCGCCAGAAATCTGACTGTTGATAGTAAAAGAAGCTATCGATAGTACTATCAGTAGTCAACTATCAAAAAACTATCGATAGTCGACTATAGAAAAATTATCGATAGTACTATCGATAGTGGACTATCGAAAAACTATCGAAAGTGCTATCGATAGCCGACTAACGGAAAATTATCGTTAATCGACTATCGGAAAACTATCGATAGGCGGCTATCGTAAACCTATCGATAGTACTGCCGACAGTTTACTATCGATAGTTTTGCGACACTAGTAGTTGCGTTACTCCCTCTATTCTTTTCTAGCTTTATTTTTTTTTCAAATGGGACACCAACTAGCCCAAGCAGTTACCAAACCAACTTTGGTTCACCTTTCAGTGATGACGAAGACGGGAGCTTGGGCGAGGACAGGAGGAAGGGAGGCGAGCGGCGGTGCGGCAACTGTGGTCGCTCTAGTGGTGCAAAACTATCGATAGTACTATCGATAGTACCGATAGTCGCCAGAAATTCCCATACAAAAATGTCCTATGGTCGGTTATAGAAACATCTCTGTATGGTCGGCTTTAGCTATTAGGCCCAATCAGCTAAAGAATTTTCTATGACTGTCTGTAGCTTTTTTTTTTATTTTTGCTTTTCTCGGCTTCTTTTGCTTTGTCCATGGCTCTATCACTGCCCTACTGAAAAAAACCCGTATAAAAATTCATACTGGTTGACCCGTATATCTCATATGGTGTTATGGATACGGGTCTCCCGTATGCTACTGGGAACCCGTACCTGTACAGGTTGACCCATTCAGATACAGGAAGCCGTACCTGTATGGGCTGACCCGTTCAGATACGGGACCCGTACCTGTACGGGTTGACCCGTTTAGGTAAGGGAAACCGTGCCTGTACGGGTTGACCCGTTTACATATAGGAACCCGTGCCTTACAGGTTGACCCATTCAGATATAGGAACCAATATTTATAGATATTCATCTGTTCAGATAGAGAAACCTATATCTTTACAGGTTTACCCGTTCTGACACAGTAATAGGAATCAAAATGGTGTTGAACGTTTGCATACGGACGTACGGATCTTTGCAGGTTTAACAACTTGCATGCATTTGTCATGCGAGGAATGAGCATGAGCCAGGTCATTTCAGGTTATATGTGTATTTAGTGAAGGCAAATTGGCATACTGCAGAACATCTACAAGAAGCTTAACCTCTAAGCAAGCTTAGAAGTCAAGCTTCTTGTTAATATTCTGCAGTATAGGATATTAACAAATTGGCATACTGCAGTAAGTTGACCCGAGCTGTCCTCTTCCCTGGAGAGGCCTCTCGAGGATTCCTCCATATGTACTCGTTGAAGGCATCTGCAGGGGAAAATAATACAACAATAAGTCATGTATATCTACAGTTTCTCGAAAAATTTAATATTTTACTTCCTGCAATTATAAGCAAGCAATTTCCACTACAGTTTATGCTTTATTAATATCTTGTGATACCATGTAGACTCCAAGAGCAACTTCTTACGATTACGCAGTCTGCTGAAAACAGCAGGTATGCATGATTCGGCCAGAAAGTTTTGAACCAGTTCAGACCGACTTCGGAGGAGTGCAGAAGCAGTGCGCAAGTCGTGCTGCGGCTGCGTCAAGTTAAGCTGCAGCGTTACAAGCGACCCTGCAATTGGTTTCTGAAAGACCGAGGAGTTGCCACCTGTTACTGCATGAACGCTGAACTGACTTCACCCAGCTCAAGATTCTGTGGAACTGAGGCTGACCTCGTGCAGCACTGGGATAAATCGAACAGGCCACTTCAGCGTCCAAGCAACTTTCGATTGAATCTAATGTATCAGTTCTTACAATATTTGAACTATATCGGCTGGTTCAAGCAAATCGAAAAGACCTAGTGTGACTTCCCACAACTATGCACTTAAAGTATGCTTGCAACAGTGTGTTCCTTGCACTTCAGTGTTTATAAAAATTATAGACCCTGGAGCAGGGGGACAAAAAGGAACGGAAAGACACGAAGCTCGGGAGCTTTATGTCTGTCCGTCCCTTTTTGTCCCCACGCTCCCGGGTTACTACGTCAATCCTTAACCAGCTCGCCTGCCTGTTAACTAAAATGAAAGTATGTTGTATGAATCCAAATATGTATTTTCAATTCTGAACATGGGCCTCCGATTGCCTAGAGCCTCGAACAGATTTCATGCCCAACAATGTCACCATGGAAACGAGTGAAAGGAACACTGAACACACAATTCTCGGCCGGCGGTTTTTGTGCGAGAGAAAGATTTTGAGCCGCAATTGTTGTTCTGGGCATGTATATAAATTAACAACACAGATTCGACATCAAGAATCATTTAACAAATTGAATATCCGAGTCACCACCGTTCAATGGTCCATTCATACGTGATAGGAGGAATACCCGCAATGAGAAGGTAGTTTAGAAAAAATGGGCAGTACTCAAAGGACAGAGCCAAACATAGTTCGGTTGCAGCAGCTCTAGTGGACAAACAGACTCGTTTCACAACTTTGCTAATGCCAGCTTTTCGTTCAAAAGAAAAAATAAGTGCCTCGCAGCTCTGCCGGGGAGCCAGCAGAATGTCCTGCGAGCAGGCCACTGATATCATGGACCTCCCCCAAAACTTGCACGGTTTAGCATATATTTGCGACGCGGAGCATGTTGCTGTAAAACCTCCATAGTGTGAATGCTTCAGAAAGCGCCAAGCGACCTAGATGACTGTGACAAGGTCACTTTATTTTTCTTCATATATTAAAAACAAAGAAGGAGATAGGGCTTCTTCATTTCGGTTTTGCGCTCGGAGCTTCACGTTCCTGAAGCTCGAGCTAGTCAAACTGTGACCCTTCAACAGCCTATACCACTGAAAGTTCTGAAAGCCTTGGAATATTTTATCCCATTCATTTTGCCGTAGCAGATTGCAACTTTGGAAGCCATAAGGTTTGAATGTCTCACCAAGTATGAGACATCTGTGAGAAGTCGGCACTTCCTGCTGACTGCTGCCAACTTGACTGGAGTCAGGGCCCACTTGGCCACGGCGCCCTTGAGGCGCCGTCATGGCACCCCTCACACTCGGCCCATGCAGGTCCTCTCTGCCGAAGATCAGCTTCGTGGCCTCTTTAACGAAGATGGAGTCTCCCCGGGCTCCCCTGACGTAGGACAGTTTGTACTTTTGCACCAAGACACCAAGGTGAACCTAGAAATAGATAGAAATGCTCTACAGGAAATGCAGCCAGCCATTGGTCCGAATTTCGATCTTTCGGAAACTTGTGCAGGCGTCTGCCGCACAATGACACTTTTTTCGGACGCAGGACATGCGAGGCAGCTCTTCACGCAACATCTTGGTGGTATTCTTCTCGGAGCCGATCACAGATATTCACCACGGGCACTCACTACTCATCTCCGGCTTCCCAATGTACAGAACAACTCATCTTGAAGTGCAGAACAGAGAGCGGAACAAACATAACTGCAAAGGAATCGCATAGCAAACAGTTCCAGCCATGCATGTTGTCTGCCGTACACACAAAAAAAAAGGACACGAAAGGGAAAACAGAAAGCTCACAGTCGGGTCTAGCCACGTGACCTCTCCCACTCACTATCGCCTCTCCACTTCTTCGGCCTCCGTGCACGGGTTTCAGTTTCGGCTCTGAGCAGTTGCGTTTTCTGGCTTTAATAAAAATATATTTGACTCTGTTGCAAAATATTAATTATGTAGTCTTTCGACACCATAATAAATCGCCTGGCAAGAAATGGAACTTTGGGGGGGGGGGGGTGTAAGTGTCCGTTTAAGTGAGTTCTGAGTAAAGAGAAAGAGCGAAAGAAGGGTACTAATTATAACAGAATTTTAATCTGGGCTCGTGGTACATGATTTATGAAAAAGCTCGAAATAAAACGAGGACGCTAGATAGAAAACGTTTCAGAAAAGCGCCAATTAATTGGGAAGAAATATCTTATCAATGCCCGGTTCTACTCTTTACATTCATCAGCATTTTGAAGCAGGACGGTGGTTCAATTTAAGGAAGCATACAAATAACCTCATTCAAGGAGCTGCGGAAACCATAAAATGTAGTCACTTGCCCAATATCTGAAATGAATATTCAATGAAATTCTGAACTTACCTCATGATCAACCTCTGCAAGCACTGGAGGTGCCTCCGGTGGGCCTGCTGCAAGAACCGCTGCTGGAACAGCAGCATCAGCGGCCGGTACGGGTTGAGTGTGATCTACACCAGCTCGCACAACGCGAACTGGAGCAGGAGCACCAGCTGCAGGAACTACAGCTTGGCAAGCTGTAGGAGCTGACCCAACACCGCCAGACGGGACATTGTCCACTGCAACATAATAAAACACTGTTTAGAAACAAGACACGGTACAGGAGTCAACCGATTTTTGTGACGCCAAAAATTCAGACATGCTTGGTTATTGGGACTTCAGCACTTTCCTGGTCCGTTGATGGCATGAGGGCTTCATAGTACTTCATGCCACAGAAGACTATCGGTAGTGTGCCTATTTGTTTTTCCGTAACACACCGGGACTGGAAAAGTGGTGCGAGCAGAACACAAAAAAAGGACGAGAAACAAAACCAAAAAAGAAAAAAGGAAAAAAGGAAATGCGCTCAAATTCGCCGGCAATGGGCGGCAGAGAGCATGTTTACAAAAAATACCGGTGAATAGCTAATGAATATTCATGCCTAGCATTTCGATGGTTTGCGAGATATAAGCTCAATCTTTCTGACTTCAACTTCTACGAGGAAGAAGCGCACTTCACTGGCCGCTCTGCTCGGCCGGGGGGGCTTCTTCGTGCGGCTTGGGTGGCGCGGCGGCGCGATTTTTTTGGCGCGACACTGGGGAAGCCACCCTTCTCCTATCTTTACCTTTCACTCCCCCTCCCCTACCCCAAAACAAAGGTGACATATTGAGCTTTCGGCTCAGCAACACTTCCTTTGACTTCCTCCTCCCAATACTCTGACTGACTGACGAAATCCAATGCTGTAGCAGATCATCTGGCCACTTTTTAACCAGTTGCACAGTTGCGTCGCTAGGCACAATCTGTCGCCCGGTTAAAGTTCAGCCTTGTTGGTGCTGTGGTCATGCCTACGACCAGCTTCCTCACTCCCTCCTCCTCATCAAAAAGAACTCCTTTCTCCCCAATGACGAAAGGACGTGCGCTGGCCGGGCTCATCGGAAAGTGCATATTTACAATGTTGTGACCGACAGAACAAACTTTCACTTCAAGCCTCATCAATGCGCACAGACCATGGTGTCTTGGTATGGACATGATTGTTTGACGAACTGCAAAAAAATATTTCTTCGGTCAAAACAAGGGCTGCCAAGCAAAACGGGGTCATCGCCATCAGCAACAAGCAACAAACTCTCAAAGCCCTATTCGCACCCTAAGAGAAGAAAAGAGAATTATAGACACCAACTCATTGATACATTGAGGCCACCCTGTAGTATATGCTTATTTCTGTTTGCGACCAAACAAAATTAAAGTTACTTTTGATCTCTCGGATAAAGTGTGAGCACATAATGCGTCGTGTGTGAGGTGGGCAACTGAAAGTGCCTCCACGCTTACCCAGTAGTGCCAGCAGCTGCTACTGCAGTCTTCTTGATAGCGTCCTCTCTATCTGGAGCTCCTGCTTCAGCTTCACCACCCTCTGCTTTGCCGACCGCAGCTTTTCAACCAGTCAGGCATGCTCTACAAGCGACACAGTGGACGTCTTGTCCTCCGTCTTCTTTTTTCTTGTACTTGCCACCCACTGCAGGGGATGGCGACATCTCAAGCTGGAAAAGAAAAAAGGTCCACGCATTTCAATATTCATTGAATATTAACTTCCAACACAGGATTCGGACTCACATAGTTCACATTAAATTGCCTCCCCCCCCCTTTATTTTCTAGGTGTATGTTTCAGCTCTATACCTGTGATTGCCCCCTCCCCCTGAAAGAATGCTTCCAGATGCCCATGACCATATATCCGGTATTCACTGTCATTTCAGGAAATAATTGCTACATCGTCCTTTACACACTCTAGTGCGTAAAGGACGATACGTGTATTTGTTTGCGCTACGTGTACCTGTTGGCAGAAACCACTGTATAGGTAAACGAAATAGTATGATAAAATATTGTGTTAAAAGGTACTTCTCAGTTAGTTAGAAAGTAAATTATGATTATACTGCTTTGCACCCAGTGTACTTTCTATGAAGTACGTAAACTCTCAGTTACTTTGTACTTGCAATCCAGTACTTTTAAATACGATAACATTTATAAGCAAACCCTATGCACTTTAGGCCTCCATTGGTCCGAGGATTTGTAACTGCTTTTGAAAACAGCATGCGCCGGCACATTATAATTCAGAAAAGAAAAACATGCCGCCGGCACTGTGCCTCAAACCCACAACTGTTGGGGCTTTAAGCCGGGAATCGTATTCGCTTCACTACGAGCACACGGGGGCAAGCATTTGCGAAAGGGTTACTGGGTGCAGGGAAGAGCTGCGTTGATGCACGTGCCAGTGACTCAACGCCGTTGTTGCCATAGCAATGAGTGTCACATCTGGTCGCAGTCGCGCATAGCCACATCTGAGGAGAGCTCTGTAAGCCTAACTTGAGCATCATCTATCGTTGTCGGTATGCGAAAGCAGGTCTCACCAGAGGAACATACACGCAAGCGTGCTGAGGCACAGCGAGAGCAAAGGGCCTAGGGCACTTCGGAACAACATGAAACATGTTTGTTGAAAGCTAGAGGGGAAAGTAGCAACAAGAGGACCATCGAAGCGGATGAAAAGATTCAAAAGAGAAAACGTTGGCTGCAACGCAAGCAGGACGCCAAACGAACGAGGACGTCTTGCGATAGTGAAGAAGAGATGCACCTTCGAGTATAACGAGATTGAGACTTAGGTGAGGACGCCTCGTAAGACTGAAGAGGGTCAAATTCAGATATAATGCGGTCGAGAAACAAGCAGGGGAGTATCTCTTAAAATTGAAGACGGACAACTTCGGCTACAGCACAATCGAGACGAGGAGTGGCCAAGCTGCGGCTCTTTGTGTGTTAAAGTGCCGCTTGTGGTCCACTTTCATACAGCGTGTCTACCCACCAGATCTGTGTAACAGAATAGCAAGCAATTTTTAAAAAAAATGTCTATACAAATAGTCCTGACCAGCCATAATAAATGGACACAATTACTCATGAGGCGAACAAAATGCAAGAAATTCCTTAGCCTAACCGTGCACTTTTACCCACAATTACTGCCCACTGGTAACAGAAATGAAGTATGGTGCCGATTTGAAAAAGGTACACAAAAGACGAACTTAAGGCCGCTGGTTCTGAAGAGAGTCTAAGAATGAGGTAAGAAAAACAGTTTAAAGACGCACATATACCTCGAACCTTGAGTCCAATATCATAGGGATGGCCACGTGCTTCTTTTTCAAAGCAGCAACCAGCTCACCTCTCCTCTGTAAGACAAAACATGCACATTGAGCTACATCTCAAAGTCGTGTTTGTACCACTCCCCCCCCCCCCCCCCCCCCCATGTATCGAAGTTTATAAATATGACCGTTCACCAGCTAGCCTGCGCTATAACCTTTGTTTCAACAAGTCGTTTCTTCTATATTTTTTACAAATTAAATGCAGCACCTAGCCGAACTTACGTGGTAAAGTTGTCGTAGCTTACAAAGCCGATTTGTTGTGATTTATTTTAAATGTCGTGGCTGCCATCTCGAGCACCCTGTAGTTCAACAATGTAAAACCCTTTGCTTTTGCCGCCCAGTTGTTTACAAATCCGGCGCAAGGACATATTCGTGCCCCCCACATTTCGCGAATTCTAGACGCCGGAACGGGGGCCCACGAAATTTCCGCTTTCCACGTGTCCTTAAATTTCGCTAATTTTTGGACGTGTAGAATTTGCCAAAAATTAGGGGCTCGCGAACATTAGGGAGTTTTCGTAGACCGCGTTTCCCCCTCCGCTAATCTTTCCGCAACGAAGAAGTTACTACTGCGCCTGCACGCTAGCCTTGACTGTAGAGTTCCAGGTATATAGCGAGTTGCGGAGGGCGTTGCGGGACGGCGAAAACTATCTACGAAAACTCCCCATTAACGGTTTGCAGTAAACGTTGTGCTTCGAGCCCGTGATGCGTAGAAAACAACTTACCATTCCCCGGCGCACGATCCAACAGCCTCCCAGTAGACGCTTTTCGACACGTCGGGGTCAAAGTCGCCAACGCTCGCCGGTTTGAACATCTTGATACGGTTCAAGCTGACTATTGCCTTCGCGCCATCAACACAAATCACGTACGCTTAGTAAGTACTGTCGTGAGCAAAAGTCTGGATAACACGGGAGCGCCGACCGAATTGCATCGCCGCGCTCCCTGACGGCGCGGCGCCTGGGGCCGAGACCCGCGCAATGCGCACGCGCGTCCTTTCTTACATGCTGGCCGACTCGTTCGCTCGCTTCGACGCGATGCGCACCTGAGCGATTAAATGGGCGCTAGGTGCCGCCCCGGGAAAAAAGGTTCCGAGAGCCTCGCTCACCGCTCGGGACGCGCTCGCGTGCTCCGCGGCAGGCGCCGTTCGCGCATATCTTTCCCGCGACTCGGCGACGCGTTAAAAACTGTCGCTTCCCGCCATTCGTTATTTTTAAGCTTCCCCTAAATATGCCCCGGCTACAATGCAAACAGCGGCTGCTCAATTTATTATGCACGCGTCGTAAAGGGTGAAGAAATCAAGAAAACAACAAGAAAAGAAACATGGTACTGGCCACACATTTTTAGCATGGTTGTTCGCGAAGTGACCTTAAAATGTCCAGTTCGACATCAGTTGTGATGACTTGTACCGGCTATGCAACGATTTCGGCACAATGACAAAATAATTATAGGAGTCGTTCTCCGACACTTCTAAAGTAAAGAACAGAAAAGCGATTTAGTCTGTGTGCCCTAATTATAATTTTAAACAATAGCAAAGATTCAAGTTTCCGGCACCCCTCAACTCTCTAAATGACGTGCTCATTGACGTCGACGTGAGGATGCACCGGTTTCCGAGCGCTCTCCTCAAGGCTGTTTACTCTTTCTCTCTCGACTGCTCTTCGTGAGGCGTTGAGCTGCAGCGATCCCCGCGTCACCGTCACGGCGCGTTTCCCATGGCCGCCGCGCACGGCTGCGGAGGGAGAAATATTTCCATTTCTGCTTTGCGATTACACAAATGAATTGCAACATTTTCCAGGAAGGTGATGCTTTTTCGATTCTTTCTGACGCTATCAACACTATAAAAATTACAAGCCACCCAAACTGAACCAGCGCCTCTTTTTCCTTCCGTTTTCTTTCTTGTTTTTTCTTGGGGGGGGGGGGGGGGGGTGTTGAATAAATATTTCTTTCTTATTTGGCGTTTTCTTTTTGCTCGTCATTCATCACTTTAGCGCGCGTGCATGATCACTCGAAGGAAGCCCAAGGCTGCCTCGAGTGCGCGAATAGAAGTTCTACAATTCATTGCGGCTGCATCAACATAAGCGACAGCTTTTAACGCGTCGCCGAGTCGCGGGAAAGATATGCGCGAACGGCGCCTGCCGCGGAGCACGCGAGCGCGTCCCGAGCGGTGAGCGAGGCTCTCGGAACCTTTGTTCCCGGGGCGGCACCTAGCGCCCATTTAATCGCTCAGGTGCGCATCGCGTCGAAGCGAGCGAACGAGTCGGCCAGCATGTAAGAAAGGACGCGCGTGCGCATTGCGCGGGTCTCGGCCCCAGGCGCCGCGCCGTCAGGGAGCGCGGCGATGCAATTCGGTCGGCGCTCCCGTGTTATCCAGACTTTTGCTCACGACAGTACATATCGACACTGATACACACCGATCGAGATAGCCCTAACGTCAATGCGGCTTTGGTTCAGAGAACTGGCCAGCTGGCCAGCGGCGCGGATAAATAAGGATTGGATTGGATTGAAGAAATAATCTGCCTTAGTTTTTATTAGTACTATTATTACTCAAAATAGTTGTAAAACATTTAAAAGCATAAAAACTTACCATGTTAAGTTTATTTCTTGTTAAGAAAAACATTGATTGTCCGTCGTTGGTTGTTTTTCTGCAGTCTGGCTTGCAGCTACAAACTCCAATCCAATCTGATGTCAATAAACCGAAACCGAAACTACCGTGGTGCAGGGCTAGAAGCTATGAAGCAAGCTCGTTTATCGTGGCCTCGCTTCCCATGGATTTGGTTTTCGCATTTTATGACTTTAAATATGCATGTCATAAAATGGTTGAATTTGATAGCTGAAACTGTTAAATTGATCTGACTTAATATGTGATTTTCTAATTAAAATTCTTTATTGACAAAAATATCACAGTTTAGTTCCCGTATCAGACCTCGACGCGTTCCCGTCGAGGTCTGATAATTTCTGGTCGCGTTAAATAGACCGATCTCACCGGCCAGTTTGACTACGCCACCGCTGCCGCAATGCAGCGAGGGAACTTTAGTCTTTGGGTACGTGCGACAACCTCGCTGGAGCACTTCGCGTGTAGAGCACGAGAAGGCACGAGCCCTCGCGTGCACGGCCGTCTGCCTCATGTGAACTAAAGTTATGGCGGCTTTACGCATGCACCCAACGCTTAGTGAGATTGGTCCATTGTGTATACCGGTAGAGCCTGTACAAGGTTACCGACCGCCGGTTTAAGTGCCGGCGCCGGTAAGGCGTTACCGGTCGCTCCGATACGTGGTTGCTGTTAGCCGCGCATCGATTACTGGCCACCGGTACGTTATTACGGCCCACAAGTGTGGCGTACCGTCTTCGACTGTACGTGTTCACTCGCCGCTTGTACACGATATGGGCAACCGGTATGGCGTATCGGCTTCGCCGGTACGTGGTTACCGGTTACCGGTGTGGCCTACCGGCGGTGCCCGTACGTGTTTACCGGCCGCCTGTACATGGTATGGGCAGCCGGTACGGCGTATCGGCTTCTCCAGTACGTGGTTACGAATCGGCCGGTACAGAGCTACCGTTTACCGATATGAGAATACAGGACTCCCGTGTGAACCGGTATAGGCCGGTATACATTTGTACAGGTTTTTTCAGTAGGGTGTCCAGCCATAGCACTCTTTAGCTTTTCTAATGACTGGCTCTCTGTAGCCAGCATGCTATAGCTGCCTATGGCTTTCCTGTGGTGTCTTTAGCTCTTTATACAGTCTGCTGAAGAAAGCTGCATGTGTTTTCTTATGGATCTCTTTAGTCAGCACACTCTAAACAAAATTGTTTTTCAAGTTCCCCCTACTTTAGAACGCTACATGGTAGATACCGATACATATTGTTGCATCGCAGACATCATCTGGTTCCCGCGTGTGCGTCTGGTGTCGCACTAACGACGACGACAACCCACAAACAGCCTCGAGAACAACGCGCGAGCAATCATGGAACTGATGGCCTACCCCATCTAGCTGCCGATGCCCGGTCTGTACCAAGACCCCATCTCGCGTAAATACTTGTACATAGATTAAAGAGCAGTAGTAACGTCTCTAATAATGTCTAGCACATATACATCACTGAACACACGCAATACACATAACACAAGCCGAACACTCCCCTCCACAACTGCAAGAAGCGCTGCGACAAAGCTTCCGAACGGCGGCGTCCGCTACGTGGAATGGCACCCAGTGCATGCGTAGACGGATCTCGGGGAAACCAGGATCAATGACGAGGCAACGAAGGCCTTTCACCTTGATCTCCTTGAAGTTCAGGGATCGTTCTTTTGCTTCCGGCGTGCAGCGTCGCCAACCACGCATGATTCATCTGGAACGCGCCCAGCGAGACGATGTCCAGCAAGGCGGCTGTCCGCTTCAGTTCCTGGCGGAAATCCTCGATGTGGTAGGGCCGTCCCTTCAGGGCGCAGTGAAAAATGACAGAGTTCATAAAGGTTTCCCCGGATGGCGTCGAAGGCAAAACTACTTTTTAGTCTTCAGTAGATGACGATGAAGCACCAAACGCACAAGTTCCACGGCCATCAAGGACCGCTGCTGCCGCTCCGACGGAGCTCATGATTCTGGCGACCGTATTGCTCGAAAGATGGAACAAGAATTCGCCACTGACTAGGCCATGTCCGCCGCGCTTCCTACTCTTTTTGTGGAAGAGCATGATGATCGAATGAGAGGGCGATGCGAACGCGGCCCGATAACGATATCGCGTTCCACTCTTAAAGGCAAAACTTAAAAGGCCGTCAAACTTTTTTTTTTTTTCGCTTGAGCAGGAAACAATGTATTTTAAGAAAACTTAGCGCTGACAAGAGTAGGCGGGAGAACACGCACTTCATGCAGCTGATGCGCTGCACTTTCCAGTTACAAAAGTAGGCTCGAAAGTGTCAGTATAAGCCCCTATCTTCTCCTTTTAGAGCGCAGCTCTTAGGCGCCGATTTCCAGCTTGAGCGCCGTCGCCGTCGCTGTCACCATGTGCGTAACCGCGCGTTACATTATGCGATGTTTCACGTCACACGTGTCGCACTCATCCCGGAAAAGTTTTACGCTAAATTTAACGGGAAAGTTTACCCTGGTGACGTCACGTGACCCTTCCCTGCTCCTTAAGAGATGCGCTCTTATTCGGCATTACAGAGAATTGTAAACGTCTATCATGTTTTTTAGCTAAAAAACCTCGTATATCTTGTTGTTACGCTTGTTAATTTGTGTTTTGTCTTTGTTTTTCTGGTATAAACCACCCACGCTATAGACAATTCCTCTAGGAAGCAAAAGCGTCTACAAAACGCCAGAAAGCAAGAAACAAAAATGCACGCTAAAATGGCTCGCAAAAATAAAAATAAAATGGAAACTTGGCGGTTCTTGTAGCAACCCTTTTAGAAAATATCTTTAACTGGTCAAATCGTTGAGCTAAAACTTCAAATCAAAACTCCAAGTTAAAAAAGAAAAGTGATTTTATTAACGGCGGGGCGGCTGCTGTCGGGGAGACACCGAACGACGGCCATGTTTCTTTGCCTTATCCAGAGATGGCGCTACGGATTCACTGGACACTGAATGGACGTGCCGAGTGACAAAGCGCGCTTTTATCGGAGTTTTTGATTCCGAGGGATATTTGCCAAAATAAAGTTGTTTGGGTTTTCAGTTAAGTTTCACAGTGCAGAAAGTGTCACGCCATAAATATTAATAAATAAAACCGTCCAATGCTACTCAAGAAGTGACGTACGTTCGTCTGCGACGATTTC